TCATCATCACCACCACCATCACCATCACCATCATCACCATCACCATCACCACCATCACCATCACCATCACCACCACCATCAGCACCATCACCATCATCATCACCATCATCACCATCATCATCACCACCACCATCACCATCACCATCATCACCATCATCATCACCATCATCATCATCACAACCATCACCATCATCATTACCATCAGCACCATCACCCCATTATCATCCCCAACATCACCAACTGCATTAGTTTCCTATGACTATGTAACAAATTGCCACAAATTTGGTGGCTTACAACTACACAGATTATTCTCTCGCAGTTCTGAAATCAAGAGGCCAGAAATCTGAAATCAAGGTGTCAGCAGGGCTGTGCTCCCTTCCAAGGCTCTGGGAAGGATCCTTCCTGCCTCTTCCGGTTTCTGGTAGTTCCAGGTATTCCTTGGCTTGTGGCTGCATCACTTGAATCTCCATCTCAGTCCACACTGAGGCCTATGCTATGGCCTTCTCCTATTCTATCTCTTACAAGGACACTTGTGATGGCACTTAGGCCCCATCCGGGTAATCCAGGATGATTTCGTCTCCAGATCCTTAATGTAATCACATCTACAGAGACCCTTTTTCCAAATAAGGTCACATTCACAGGTTTTAGAGAGTAGGACGTGGACCTATCTTTTGGGGGGCCACCATTCAACCCACTACAACAACCAGCATCCCCACCACATCATTGCTGCCAACATCAGTTAAGTACTAGTTTCTGCCAGGCATTAGTTAATCCAGGTGCCCTACCTGCATCATGTCCTTTATTCTTTAAGATAGGCACTATTATTATCCCCAGTTAACACATAAAGGAACCAAGGCTTGGAGAGAAGAATTTGCTTGTCCAAGGTTTCACTTAGAAGTAGGGATTTGAACCCAGGTAGTCTGGCTTCCGTACTCCTACTAACCATGGTTATCTCGCCCCCAGCCCCCAAACTTGTGATCACACAGATAATTCGATAGAAGGAAGAGTGTGAATGGGAAGCAAGGTTCCTGGGTCCTGTCTAGGTTCTGCCACGAACCAGTGGTACATCTCAGACAGGTCTCTCCTCTCTGGGCCTCCGTTTGCCTTTCTGTAAAATAGGAAGGTGGGGGGTGGTTGGTCTGGACAATCTCCATGGTCTTCCTATCTCTGGAGTTCTGTGACGCTGGATGTCAACTGCCATCTCTCAGTCATAGTCAAACTGCCCAGGGGCATGACCCCCATATAATCTAAACCCTCTGAACCTGCTACCGGTTGCTAGAGATGAGTTTTGCTTGGAAGGTCAGCCTATTGGGTGAGTGCTGGTGACAGCCAGAGTGGAGGGGCTGGTTGGCTCGCCCACCTTTATCTCTGCTTGCCATATCACAGGGCTGGGGAGCTCTTTGTCTTTCACTCTATGCAGGACTGTGGGAGGGGAGAAGTGGACGGGGTCACCTTCTCTTCTTGGAACCCGAGACTTTTGGTTTATGCATTCAGAGAGGGCTCTGCAACTGAGAGCTGGTTGATGCTAGGAACAGAGCTGAAAATAACTATCTTGTTGTGACGCCCCACATCCAGAGGCCTTCTCCAGGAATTGGCCTGGGGTGCTAGACTCCAGAATGTCTGGAGAGGGGGTCTGGGGGCTGGAAAAGCCCTCCTCGTTGGTCATCTAAGGAGAATCATCTAAGGCCAAGAGGTGGGGAGAGACCCCAGTGACCAAATCCTAAGCCTCAGGTCGTTGGAAGGGAGAAAAACACATAAAACAGCATGAGAGGGTCTCTGAAAGTTGTTTCCAAAACCTGGGTTGTTCATTAGGAGTTGTTTGTAAGTGTAAATATTTTTTAAAAAATCTATTTGATAGTGTGAACTCCAGAGGCCTTTTTCCTCTGGCTTCCCTGTCCAGAGCAGGAACTGTTTACATTGGAGCTAATCATGTTCAAGAGAGAAGAGTTGGGTTAGGACAGAATTGCAAACTTTAATTAGCAGCAGCATGAGATCAAATCCCAGTAGGGTCTGGGGGATGAGGACATCCTTCAGGCCCATCTGATCCCAGTGGGCACCTCCCTGCAACCCCCCCAGCGCAGGGATCCAGAGGGGTGAGCAGGAGCCTGGCCAGGAAGAGTTAATCTCCCTTCGCCGGCCCCCAGCTGAGCCGCACCCGCTTCCAAGGCCCTCGTCCAACCGCTGGCTCACACCAGCCTCCACCGGCTTTGTCCTGGCAAGAGCCTTAGCAAACAAAACCTAGCTGTGTGACCTTGGGCCAACAGCTCTCCCTCTCAAGGTACAGGAGCCTAAGTGGGGAGGTTTGGGACAGTCGATGGCAGGACGCTAGGATGTTGGAAGCCACGACCCGGCGCGGGTGGGGGCATGCGACCCACCTCCCCGCGCCTGGGGTCACACGCCCCGCCAGCCCACCCTGGCACGGTTCAGGCAGGGCAGAGCATTTTCTGGTCTTTATCTGGTTTAGTTCTAAGTGCTTCGAACGGCAGCGGGGCTGTTCCATCACAGTCCCCAGGAAATCGGTCCACGTAGGACGGAGCCTTCCCGGGAATGAAGTCATCTGCTCCTTTTTTATTTTTTCTTGCCTTTCTCCTTCCACAGAGTCATCGGGCCTTTGCGGTGCCTCCCCGCGCAAGCTCGCCCCGCCGAGGGGACCGGCCCGGCCGGCCCAGGGAAGAAGCGAGGAGCAGGACCCCCGGGGGCGCGGGCTGCCGGGGCGCCCCCTCCGCCTTTGCGGTGCCTCCCCGCGCAAGCTCGCCCCGCCGAGGGGACCGGCCCAGCCGGCCCGGGGAAGAAGCGAGGAGCAGGACCCCCGGGGGCGCGGGCTGTCGGGGCGCCCCCTCCCCGAACCCGCGACTTCCCGGGACAGCTCTAAGGTGAGCTCCCGGGAGGCCGCCCGCGCTCCGGCACGGCCCGCTCGCCGAACAATAACAGTAAATAACGCTCCCTTGTCAACGTAATAAAAACGGAAACGGTTACAATGTTTTTTAATAAGCGTCCCCCATCAACCCCCCCCCCTCCGTGGGCACCGCCTCCCGCGCCCCGGCCCGCGCATGCGCAGCGGGGACTGTCCCGCGCGGGCGTCGTGGGGGCGCTCTGCCGCCGCCCAGGGACCATCCGGACCCCCAGACCTGGCCCGGCCACCTGCTTGGGTGGGGAGAAAACCGAAAAGCAACAGTGTTTATCGTTTGCCTTTGGAACGCGGCCCCGCCTTTGTTCCTGGCGGGCTGGTTGGTTTCCAGGCGCTAAAGGCGGGGAGAGGAGGGGGCAGGGACACCGGCGAGCCTGGGGACGCGGCGGGGATTCGGACGACCGGCCTGGGGCGCTCTTCCCAGGCCCCGGGGCTGCCCTCCCTGAGCCTGACCTCCCCACGGGCCTGGGGAAGGGTTCTCGCAGGTGATGCCAACGGCTGGCCCCTCCTGTGTTTCCTGGTACCTTTCTCCGCATGTCCCCTACCCCGCATTTACCCAGGAAAGAGTGCGGAGGGAGAAGAGAAGTCGTGTCAAGCGTGTCAGGCTCCCTTGTCCACCAGAAAACTATGACACAGTCCACCCCCCCAAAGTTGAGGGAAACCTGGATGTTTCATAAACACAATCCGCCCTCCCACGACTTGTTTATGTGGAAGCTGGCTGCAGCTTTGCACGTCTGAAGCTAGGGAAGAGGGGTGTTGGGGGTCGGGGACTGGGGGACACATGATCATCTCGGAGGCTGTTTGTGGAGAATTCTCCAGATTTTGTTTGGTTTGTCTTTAATAAGGGTCAGAGGTCTGGGCTTCTGCGGGGAAGGGGGAAGGGTCACCTCGGATGGCCAGGCCAGGAGGTCCCAGGGGGGCAGGTCACGGGGCCTGGGCTGCCGGCCCAGACCAGGAGCCAGAGCCGCCCCATCTGGCACTGTTCCTGGGTTCCCAGCAGGCCGCAGGCGGGAGTCAGCAGGCGGCAGGCTCCACCGGCTGCTCCCCAGGGTGTGGCCCCAGGGAGGGCTCAGACCGAGGACTGGGGACCTCGCTCCTCTGGGCAGGACAGCTGTCATTTCCCCGGCCCCTGCCCTAGCCGCACTGGCCAAGAGAAAGGGCCAGCAGAGCAGCCCAGGGCTCTGGGGCTTTCTGCAATGGAAAGGGGAGGCTTCTGTTTTATGTACAGGGGGGACTTAAACTTTCAGCGTCCAGGCGGACCAGATGGGGATGTAGAGAGTGTGTGTGCGAGGAAGGGGGGCCGGCTGCTTCAGAGCTCCCCCGGGCCCTGTCCCCACTGTGGCCTGTGCAGGCTGAAGGATTCTGGGCGTGCAGAACATGCACAGGAAGGAGGGGCTCTGGGTGATGTTTCTTCCCTCCTCCCTGTCTCTTTAGAGGTGTGGGAGAGGCGCCCTGCCCTGGAGGGACAGCTTGTCTGGTGTCCAGACTTCAGGTCTGCCGGTGTCATATTTATCTCTCTCCTTCTTGATTGAGGAAATGAAGACTTGGGAAGGGAGCTGGGGCAGTTGCTACAATCAAGAGAAGCCCCCACCGCGGTCCTGAAGGCAGTGTTGTGTGCTGGGAACGGGCTTCAGAACTTCACAGTCCTGGCGGTGCATCCCAGCTCTGCCACTGGAAGCTTATGCGTCGGGGCACAGGGATGAGGTGATGCCACCTCACAGGATGTGATGGCTGCTTGAGGTGATGCATAAACACTCTTTAACATGATGCCTGATGCATAGTAGGTGCTTGGAGAACATGACAGCTGTTACTGGAGCTGGAGGGAGTTTACTGCTGTCCCTGGTGTGGCCCGAGATTGCTGCCTTTAGAAACTGAGACTCAGGGCCGGCCCGGTGGCGCACTTGGTAGAGGGCGGCGCTTGGGAGTGTGGCGGCGCTCCCGCCGAGGGTTCGGATCCCATATACAGACTGGTTCCCGCTCACTGGTTGAGCGCGGTGCGGGCGCGACACCGAGGGTTGTGATCCAGTTACCGGTCACGAAAAAAGACAAAAAAGGAAACAAACAAACAAACAAACAAAAAACCCCTGAGACTCAGTGGCTGGCTGTGTCCCAAGGCAGGTTAATTTTTGGTACAGGCTAGGGGAAAAGAGCACTGGACTGGGTTCAGGAGAAGCATCTTGTCATGGGCTGTGCCACCAACCCACTGTGTAATCTGAGGCAATCACTACCTTCTTTGGGCCTCAGTCTTCCCATCTGGCAAATGGGAATAATAATCACAGCAACTGCTGGTTGTGAATTCATGTGGTGCAGGCACTACGCCAGTGTACAAGGTCTGTACATTTCCTTATCTACTTTGACTCTCAAAACAACCCAGAGAAGTAAATACTGTATGATCCCAATTTTACAGATGAGGGGACAGAGCTTCAGGGAGGTGAAGTTACTTGCTGGGATCACATGCTAGAAGGTGGCATGGAGGTCCCTCATGCACCCCTGAGAGCAAGCATTGTGCTGTTTTTTTGCATAAATATTCCCCCACCCTTCCTGCTAATCCTCTGCCCTTTTTGGTGGCTCAGATCACAGCTCTCCCTTTCTATTCAAACCCTTGGGTCCAACCATTCTGGACTCTTCTGAGAGTGGTGGAGACCCAGCTCTCTCACTGGGAGATGCTCTCAGGGGTACATGGGGGGCTTGAGGAGAAGCAGGTGGGCCCCACACCATCCCTGCAGTCAACTCTACAGCTCACAACAGTTCTCCCATCCCCCTTATCCCTCCCTGCCATTTACACCAAAGGATTGGGGTCCCTAATACACCCGGGTGGACGCGTGGCATCCAGATGGTGCCATAAATCAGCATTATTGTCCCAGCTTCCCCTCCCCTCTGCTGTGCAGTCACCTCAGAGGAGCTGGTGGGAGAAGCACCCCTCCAGCCCCGCCTACCCATCCCAGGCTTTGTTCCTGTGGTAACCAGGCAGGAAATGGCCCAATCCTGGTGTCCACTGCCTACGTTTGAATCCTGGCCCTGTCACTGCCTGGCTGTGTGGCTTTGGCCAATCACTTGATCTCCTTGTTATCCTCATTTTCCTTATCCATGAAATAGGGATGGTCACAGCACCTCCCTGTCCCACGAAGCTCCGCCCTGGGTCTAGCTCCTAGGGGGTCCTCGGATATGTTACTGGTTATAACAGGAGCTTACCCCATGCTAGTGCTGTAATGCATTACCTCACAGAATCCTCAAACAAGCACACTGTTACTCTCTCTTGCAGGTGAGGAAGGAAGCTGGGACTCAGAGAAGGGAAGTAAGTTGCCGAAGGCCACACAGCCAATTAACAGAGGAACTGGGATTAAACCTGGCAGGCTGGTGCAGCTCTAAAGACCTCGCTGCAAACCTAGGTTCCTGGCCCTCCCTCCTGGAGCCCCTCTGAGGCTCTCTACCAAGGTCTGCAGTGACAGCATCGTTAGCCCTGCCCCGAGCTGTTTCTCCAGCCAAGGTCTGAAAGACACTGGGTTAATAGGTCCTTAATAAAGCCAGCAGAGGCGACTGTAGCTTCCCAGGGCAGGGGCCAAGGGCCCAGGTGCAGCAGATGCGTCCTAATGAAAACACAGGGTGGGGAGGGGGAGGCGGGGCTGCCTGCGCACATCTCAGACTCAATCCTCCTGCCCTCCGTGGCTGAGTCACCAGATGCCTCAGGGTGCAGGGGACAGTCACCCATCACTCACTCCATCTATGCTTGCTTGCTTTCTTCCATCCAACATCCATCCGTCCAGTGTTCATTGAGCACACATCTGGAGCCAAGCCTTGCATTAGGTGCCCAGGTTCCTCCCTCCAAGGGGCTCACAGGGCCCCAGGGGAGGAGAGGGCATCTTGGGGGCTCTGAGACTTGGCTCTGCAAACCTGCCTCAGCCAAGCTCACTGGGTGCCACTGGGCAGGCCACACCCCCTCTGGGCCACCCTCTCTTGACCTGTACAAGAAGGGTGTTTTAGTCTGTTAGGACTTCTCTAACAAAATACCTTAGACTGGATAATTTATAAAAACACATATATTGCTCACACCTGGAGACAGGGAAGTCCAAGGTCAAGGCACCTGTAGATTTGGTGTTGGGTGAGGGCCCTTTCCTCATAGATGGCACCTCCTAGCCATGTCCTCATGTGGTGTTAAGGGGCGAACAAGCTCCCCCAGGCCTCTTTTATAAGAGCACCGATCCCATTCACGAGGGCTCCACCCTCATGACCCGATCACCTCCCAAAGGCCCCTCCTCTTAATCCCACCACATTGCAGATGATGTTTTGACGTATAAATTTTGGGGTACATATTCAGATCATTGCAAAGTGGGTGTGCTGTGGTGGCCCTCATTCTGCGATTCTAGAACTCCAGGCAGGCTGGGCAGTGGGAGGCTGGGCAGCAGAGGGAGGGGGGCGGGATGGGGAAGGGGCACAGGGCTGCTGCAGCACCCCGTGGGGAGGTCACTTCTGTGGGTTCTTTCTGAGGGGCGTCTGGCTCCTTCAGGGGCTACTCCCCAGGTGCACCCCCACCCCCATGCTATCCCTGAGCAAGGAAGAGCAAAGGGAAGAGAGCAGAGTGGGCAACTTGGGGCCCCAGGGAGGGTCAGAGGGGCTGAGACCCCTGACGGTTGGGAGTCTGGGTTCTGCGGAGGCCCTGGCAGCGATGCCCCCAGCCACCAGGGCTGGAACCCAGGAACGATGGGCAGGGGCAGGTGACTCAGGCCAAACCCCAGTGTTCAGGCAAGAGCAGGAGGAGGACAAGGGTAGCCCCCTGGGAGGCCTGGGGCGACCTGTGGACCCTGAAAACAGACCTGTCACGTCTCCCAGGCAGATGCAGTGGGTTCTCCACGAGCCTGATGTAGGGATTCAGGGCTCTGAGACCGTGCTACCCACCCGCTCAAAACTCCTTCGTGGCTCCCAGTTGCCCTGAAGGGGAAGTCCACACTCCTAAGAAAGAGAGCACGT